TGACATTCAACTTCAACTCCCAAAAACTTATTTAGTACAGAGGTATCAATAAAAAACGTAAATTTGACTTGGGGTTAACAAAATAATACTTTACAATATAAATGTTCCGGTTGTAAAGTTCTAAAAAGAAAATGAAGTATTAATAGACATTTAGCGCTATTATTACACAGAGATAAAATAGTCGCAGACATTTTTGATGTTTTAAAGAAAGAAATGGGGGTTCAGATGAGGATACATGTATCTTAGAACCTTATATAATTTGAAACTTTAACATAACTAATCGTTAAACACTACTGGAAAGAACACAATGCCTTATTGCTTAAGTTTGTGTACTATAACGTTTTTGCTTTTGTGAATGAATGCCTTGTTCAAATTGTGCTTGTCGCACAGTAATTCGGTACTTCCTTACATAATTTGTGCTTGTCGCACAGTAATTCGGTACTTCCTTACATGATTTGTGCTTGTCGCACAGTAATTCGGTACTTCCTTACACAATTTGTGCTTGTCGCACAGTAATTTGGTACTTCCTTACACAATTTGTGCTTGTCGCACAGTAATTTGGTACTTCCTTACACAATTTGTGCTTGTCGCACAGTAATTCGGTACTTCCTTACACAATTTGTGCTTGTCGCACAGTAATTTGGTACTTCCTTACACAATTTGTGCTTGTCGCCCAGTAATTCGGTACTTCCTTCTGTATATTAAAAATTACTATGAAGGCTTAATTATCACCACGGGTTCGGTCAGCCTGACTGTATTTCATGAGCTTCAATCTTGACTTAATTTTCTGTTAAAACCTACCCAAAAGGCCTTTAAATTGTGCTTATTTTTCTGTTAAAAATTACTAAAAAGGCCTTTCACCGTGGGTTTGGTCAGTTTGACTGTAACAGTTTTTCGCTGAGGCTTTTACCGGGCTTAGTTTTCTGTTCAAAACTACTAAAATGGCCTACCACCGTTAATTTCGTCAGTTAAACTCTTTTCCCTGAAACTACATCCAGGCTTAGATTTCTGTTAAACACTGCTAACAAGGTCTATCACCGTGGGTTTGTTCAGTTTGTCTGTGTTCCCTGAGGCTACAACCGGCCTCGTTTTATGTAAAAATCTACTAATAAGACCTATCACTGTGTTTAAGTATGTTTGACTGCGTTCCCTTGGACTTGAACCGGGTTTAGTTTTCTTTTAAAGACTACTAAAAATGCCAATCACTGTGGGTTTCGTCAATTTGACTGTATTCCTTGAGGCTAGAACCGGGCTTAATTTTTTGTTAAAAACTACTTAAAAGGTCTATCACCGTGGGTTTGGTCTGTTTGAATGTATTTCGTGAGGCTAGAACCGGGTATTGATTTCCTTTTAGAACAACTAAAAAGGACAATCACCGTGGGTTTGGTCAGCTTGACTGTATTCCCGGAGGCTAGAACCAGGCTTAGTTTTCTGTTAAATCTACTAAAAAGACCTATCACCTTGGGTATTATCCGGTTGACTGCATTCCCTTAGGCTAAAACACGGCATTGATTTCATTTAAGAACTTTTTAAAAAGGCCTATTACCGTGGAGGATTCTTTTCTCAATAAAACCCAAGATGATAGCCTCGGGGAATACAGTGATGCTCACACAACGCAATGTGATTGGCATTTTATAGGGTTTTTATCGCGATAAAACACATGGTGATTCCATCAAGGAATGCAGTAAAGCTCACATAACCAACGGTGTTGTACCTTTTTGTGGGTTCTCATCGTAATAAAACCCAAGATGGTAGTCTCAGGAAATACAGTTAAGCTTACCCAAACAACGGTATTAAGCCTTTCTCGGGGTTCTTATTTTACAACCTACGAGGAGAACCTCAGGGAATACTGTAAAGCTCACACAAGACGCGGTGATCGGCGTTTTTGAGGGTACTGATAGCAAAAAAACCTTGGTGATTCAGGGAATACAGTAAAGCTCACACAACCCACGGTGATAGGACTTTTAGAGTTTTCTCATCGTTATAAATTAAAACCGAAGGTAATAGCCCCAGGGAATACTGTTAAGCTCACACAACCCGCGGTGAAAAGCCTTTCTAAGGGTTGTTATCACAATAAAACTCTTGCAGATAGCCTCTGGGGATACAGTCAAGTTTTCACAACCCACGCCGGTAGGCCTTTTAATTGGTTCTTATCGCAATTAAAACTCCACCTTGATAGCCTCAGGGAATACAGTAAAGCTCACACAACCCACGGTGAAAGGCCTTTTAGAGGGTTCTTACGCAATAAAATCCAAGGTGATGTACTCAAGGAGTACAGCAAAGCTCACACAGTACACGGTGGTAGGCTTTTTAGAGGGTTCTCATTGCTATAAAATCCACTGTGAACATTTATATATAATTAAAAGCATTGAAATTAAAATTTCAAGCCCCTTAAATATTTAAGATATATATTTGAATGTTCGAGTCAAACCCGTTTAAGAACATTTCCTTATAATGATTATACATTAAGAAATTAAGAACCCAAGCCCATTTTGAATATCGTCTAATTAATGTCTACATTAGATTTAAGATTCCAAGCCATTTTTTGAACAATTTCTAATGATTATATTATACATGTACATTGAAATTAAGGATCTAATCCGTTTCGAAACATTGTGTAATGATTATTTTCATTGCATTTAAGATTTCAAGCCGTTTTGGAACATTGTCTAATAATCATATACAATAAAAATTAAGATTCCAAGTCGTTTTGGAACATGGTATATTGACCATGTACATTAAAAAGTGTCCAAGCCGTTTTGAGACATTTACTTTTAATTACGTACATAGAAAAAAATCCAAACCATTTCAGAACATATTCTAATTGTTATTAAAAAAAGAGTGCAAGCCGTTTAAGAACATTCTCTAATAATAATGATATGCTTCTAAATTAAGTTCCAACCCGTTTTGGAACATCTTATAATGAATAAGTACTTTGAAATTCAGATTTGAGACCGTTTTAGAACTTTTTTTAATGTATTGAACATGTAAAATGAAATTAAGATTCCAAGCCATTTTGGAACATTTTTAAAACAAACATGCGCTTTAAATTAAGAATGAAAGCCGTTTTGGAATATTGTTCTATGATGAAAACATTGAAATTAAAGATCATGCATGTAACTTCGTTATTTGAAGTAGGATTTTAAAAGAATTTCATAGAAATTATCACCATATTGAGACGACGTTTCGTGTGCAACATTTGGGTCGCTACCTTGAAGGTCAAGGTCACAGCGTGACCTTGCAGCAAATAGTGTTCGGCCAATAACTTAGTTACTTGAAATCGGATTTTAAAACTATTTCACAGAAATGATCACCATATTGAGACAATGTGTCGCGCGCAATATTTGGCTCGCTACCTTGAAGGTCAAGGTCACAGAATGACCTTGCAGCTAAATCGTGTCCGGCCCATTACTTCGTTACTTGAAGTCGGATTTAACAACTTTTTCAGAGAGATGATCACCATATTGAATTGACGTGTCACATACAACATTTGGGTCGCTAGCTTGAAGGTCAATGTCACAGAATGACCTTGCAGCAGAAACGTGTCTGGCACATAACTTCGTTATTTGAAGTTGGATTTTACGAATATTTCACAGAAATGATCACCATATTGAGACGACGTGTCGCGCGCAACATTTGGGTGGCTACCTTGAAGGTCAATGTCACAGCATGACTTTACAGCAAAATCGTGTCCGGTCCATAACTTTGTTATTTGAAGTCGGATTTTGCAACTATTTCACAGAAATGATCACCATATTGAGACAATGTGTCGCGCGCAACATTTGGGTTGTTTTGAAACTTTAAACTTTGTCTGTAACATAACCCTGACACTACTAGAGGATACCTTCCTGTGTCCAAAACCTATCACCCGGTTCAACCGGCTCTTGTTAATCTAAATTTCAAGATATATGTTATCATAAAAAGAAGTTTAAATGAGTCATAAATTAATTCCAAAGCAAATTCTTATTCCTGCTGCTGCTCCTGCTGCTCTGTTATTCTAAGTACTGTCAATAGGCCCTAAAGCTGAACAGTCAAAATATGGGTATTAGAACTAAAGGCCTCAACCGCCTACTGTCGGGTACTCTCATGCTGACGTTAATAGTTTTAAGCCTATAGTACATTAATCAATGCACAACTTTAAAAAAAACTAACTTAAAACTTTTTATATTCATAATGATAGGTAAATTTTAATGATCTTTGCTTGTTTTTTTTATTTCTACATTAGAAATAATCAGATCAAGAAAAAAAAGAAAAAATTTAAGTCAAATCCGCAGATATGAGTATTATCCGGTATTAACACCCAAGGTTGAATATAAAAATTAATTCAAACAAATAAAAACGAAAATTTAAGAAGACTTTCGAAGAATAGATTTTAAATCAAATACTAAGTCTGTTTACAGTAAATTGAATATAAAAGTAAATTTATTTCCAAAACTTCACAATAATAGTGTTTTCAAGGTCAGGGTATCGCATTGTAACATGGCCAGCGATTGGCTGAAAAAACCGTATGAATCAGTTTATACATGAGGTGATTGGATGAAAATGGGATATTTTTAAGTATAAAAACTAATTTAGAAAGTAACACTACATTGTTTTCTGAAGAAAATGAAATATTTCATGAGTCTCTATGATAACTTTGACTTGGATATTTGCATTTACAAAAAGTGTATGTCAGTCATGTGATCAGCAGACACTTTCAAAGAAATGGGGGGTAATCCTCTTTGAAGTCATTTTGCAAAAATTTTGGTTGGCTACCCCAGGTACGTACGTATATTAATATACCCGATATACGTTAATATACGTACCTGGCTACCCCTATATAACAGGAACATTTTTATGTGTCAGGCATTCCATTCTGCTAGAAAAATTACCTCTTTAGCATGAAAACATAATTTTAAGGTAGGATTAGGGACCACTTCTTATCATATGTAAGTCTATGGAAATATCAATGTGAGTGTCTGACCTCAATATTAGTACAGATTCCGTTTAAATCATTTCTTCTTTTTTACTAAACACCGGAAGATGGCGTGTACTTTCACTTTGCAAAAATTTTATTATATTTTGATTTTGTGTATATTTGCAAGCATCATTAATGGTGAAACAAAAGATGAAAATGTAAAAAAGCAAAATGAAGATAAATGGAAGAAAAAAGACATTCGAGATTACTCTGAGGCTGATCTGGAACGACTTTACGATCAGTGGGAGGTAATTTGACATATGTTTTCGCGAGACTGAGTTTCAAAACAAAAAACCGAAGTTTTAAGCACCGGGGCTCGACACAGTGTTTATTGATACGGGGAAGTCGTAGGGTGGGTCTGTGAAATGTGTCCGGGCTTTGACTTGCCCGGCTATAGACTAATTGTGTATATTTCAAAGGAAATCAAATGAAAAAATAAACAATTAAAAAATATCTATCTATCTCTGAGTACTGCCAACCCCTCTCGCGAGCGTTATAGGCAGGAAATTGTGCGCGTCGGGTGTGTTAGTGAAAGGAGTGAGAGAAAGTAAAAACCTGTAAAATGAACATGATCACGACAGTGAGAGACATTGAAAACTTCTAGTCATTGTTAAAATATTTTATTAGTAAGCAGTGTTGCATCTAGAATTTCAAAATTATGGGGGATTGTCCCCCACACAATTGAAAAATGTCGGGGATTTGAAAAAATGTGGGGGACATACATTTACCTTACAATTAATTTATTTTACATTGAGGCATTTTTGACGGCTATCGTCCGCTCAACAACGGAAATAGAAAAAATAAAATATTGACGAATACTACAATACACATGCGAGATGACCCAGTAGGCTGCTACACGCGATTTAGTACGTATTTAAGTCATTACCGCGAGTGAAAACAAACATGGCTGAAGCGTTCAAGATACGATGAAGATAGACTGAATTAAGTTGAAAGGATTATCAGATGCGCAACTTGGCGCGCATTGACACCGTTAAAATGCTCGATCTGCATAAAATATGCGCAAATTGCACGGCCTAGATGCAACACTGAGTAAGGGTGAAAGAAAGATTTAAAAGTAAAAACACAACAAGTCAACTAATACTGTATCTTAACCACTGCCTGTTTGTATTGATGTAGATCAGGCAGGGCCAAAACACCAATTTTGGGGAAGGGCCCTCAGCCTTTTTCTTGGGGAAAAAAAATTGTGATTTTGGCATACTTTGGGAAAAGGGGTTTCAAATTTAACACTTACTTTTAACAAGTTCTTCAAAATAGACAAGCAAAAAGCACTGGGCAATACAAATATGGCAGTAAAAAACCTTAATTCAACCCCATCATTTAATTTTTTCTAACTTCTATGGGAAATCTTAAAAGACTGGGGAATTTTGAGGACCAAACTGGGGAAAAAAAGAGGCTAGTTTGGTTGGGGAAGCAGCCTATATTCGGCCTCTGTAAAGAAGGGTTTTTAGGCTCTGTCAGGCAGGGTGACAATGCTCCTTGGGAGCTGGTTCCAAAGTGTGATACAGTGGGGGAAGAACGAGAACTTGTGGTAGTCTGGTGTATTGTAATATATAGATTTCAATACCTACCAGTGAAATTTTCAGTGTCATATCTAGTTTTGAGCTGCCATTTTAAATGTAACTCAATGATAATAGGTGGGTTATTGCAATATCGGAACAATCACAACTTTTTCGGGTTTGTATTAATCTTCGAGATGTTCCGAGTGAAAACAGAGGCGGTATTATCATTGAGTTACATTGAATATGGCAGTGCTCAATTAGAACTGACCCTGAAAATTTCATTGATATGTATAGAATTCTATATATTTTTAATATTTTTTTATATTTGATTTCCTTTTCAATTTACACATGTAGTCTATCGCCAGGCAAGTCAAAGGCAGGGACCGGGAAGTGGGCTACACCATCCCGGCCTTTGACTTCCCGGTATAAAACTTCCAAAAGCATTACACCTGGTCGAAATTTTGTGACAACTCTGGTTAAAAAATCCTGGATTAGAGCATGTAAAATGTTTAAAAATGATAGTAAAAAGCTTGAAGGCAGATTTTATTCTTTAATACTATGGTATATGAAGTAATAAATGTATAATCTGCTGCAAATATTATTGTTTATGTTTGCATTTAAAAAGGAATAACTCCAAAAAAAGGTTTATTCGGAAAGATGCATTGCTACACAGTAAAACCGTACTTAAAATAGTAGCATAATATTTTGTTCCAGAACTAGGGCTGTCATTGAATATCGCAATATCGATATATCATCGATATTAATCATTCTATACAATACTGATAGAAACTTTCAAATATCGATACAAGCTAAAATTTATTTCTATTATTTTGTGAATATACCTCTCTGTTTTGCCTAATAAGAGAAATCACTTTTTTCCAGTTCTGTTGGTTAACTAGAACTTCATATTCCATTATGAAATGTCAGTGACAAAAATAACACTAAAAACAAACTTTCTGTTAGTTTGAAGTATTTGTAATGTGTAATACAGGCATTCATAACACCAGGATCCCTTTTTAACACTTATCTAAGAGTTTTTCATTGTATCTTCTGTCAAAGTCGATATATCGATTACGATATTTCATTGATATTTGTCTCTAGATATATCGATACAAAATTATCCATCAATGACAGCCCTATCCAGAACATTTTATTCTGTGTAAATAGGTAATATGCTTGTGTTTGTTAAGTAACAAAGACACTCATGTTTAAACTCTTTTTTGAAGCCACCATAAATGTAATTTTATTGTTATGGAATTAAAATAATTGTACTGCTTACAAATTATATGAAACTATTAAACCAGGACCTTTATTTGCTTTAATATATGACAATATTAAAGGGACTCCACTGAGGTTTTTTGACAAAACAGGACTAGAAATGTTTCCCCGATATTTGTGTACCATTTGATGTAGGTCTGGACCGATAACTTGTGTTAAATTTTTCATATTATTATTATTCCCTCATCCCGCTTTCCAAGAATCATCATTTTATTTTGCAAAATAACCCAAAAAGGAAAAACGTTGCAACGCTTTTCATTTCAATCTGGCTAAGAATGGCCCAAAAATAAATTTTTTAAATTTCATTCTGAGTATATTTCTTTATTATCCTTGGCAAATTTTTCCGTTTTAAGTGCTTTGTTTGATTTATGAAAGAATTTTAAATTTTATGTTTTGAGCCAGTTTTGACCGCTGTAAATAAGTTCCTTTAAGTAAATATGTTTATGTAAATTTTACTTTGGACCTCAGACGGCTCATCAAATCCATCCTTATTCACAATCCCAGTCTGATTTCTAAAAATAAACTTCCCTTTAGAAACTTCAGTAAACATCTTAATTGAAAAAAAGAGAGCTTTTTTAGGCATTTCAAATTAATTGATTATTATTTTTGCAGGATTTAACAAAGACTCATAATGACTAGATCACTCCTACTTGAAATTATCACATTTAATTCTGTCTGGTTATTAATTATTGTACACTTTATAGAAAGCAGTATTTTTGGTACATATCCAACCATCCTTGCATATTAAAAGTTAGGTATTTGTGATAAACAGATTCCCTGGGTAGACAATGCTGGGATATTAAATTTTTAAAATCTCAGTTATTTATGGTAGCAGATTCTTCGCATGGACCATGTATGGATGTTGTTGATTAGCAGGGCTCTTTGGTAAATATCAAACCATCCTTGCATATTAAATGTCCATTAATTGTGATAAACAGATTCCCTGGGTAGACAATGCAGGGATATTAAATTTTGAAAATCTCAGTTATTTCTGGTAACAGATTCTTCGCGTGGACCATGTATGAATGTTGTTGATTAGATATCTTACATGTAGCTGTCTCGTCGTGTAAAAATATCTTATAATAAAATTGTGTTTAATAATGAAGTCTGTTGACATTCCATGAAAATCTTTCCCTTGTTTTTTTGATATCATAGGTATATCCTTTTGAAAAACTTCCAGAAATTATTTCTATGAAACATAGGGATTGGTACATTCCTTTTGAAAAAGTTTCACAAACTATTTCTATGAAACATAGGGATTGGTACATACCTTTATAGGGAGTTTGGAAAATGTTTGGGAAAATATACATGTACAAAACAGCTTGGACATAAATAACCAAGGTTTTTTGAAGTGAACAACATGGCATTGCATTTCGTTTGGTCGATTTTAACACATTTTCGGTCATAAATTGGTTGTCAGTCCACCTTACGACCGGCTTTCATGGATAACTTACTAGCAACTACTAATTTCTTTCCAAGTGTCTAACTACTAAGCCAAAATTAATTTATATTATTTCTAAATCATTATATACTGTATCAGTGGTTTTAAGTTAGCGACGCGGAAATATTGGCAAATTGCGCAGAATGAAGAAAATCACTAACATTTCTTATGGCGTTAATATCAACAAAACCTGTCATTAAGTTCTAATAATATGATCCTGAAGAAATATGATTAACAAAAATCAGTAATAAAAGAACTGGTAGTCTATATTCTATAAATGCTTTCTTATAATACACTATAATAGTGCATATGTTTGTAACATTGCTTTTCATTGGATAATTGTGATGTTTATATAGTTTCATACACACGGCCACTGTCAATGAAGAAATCTAATAATCGATTTTTCTCTAAAAAGTGATCTTACTGTAATATAAATTTGTTACAAGTATTTCTGACAGGTTATATGGTTATATATAAATGTTTGTTTCCAATATAACCTCGAGTCGCCTTTTTTATTTCCAAACCGACGTTTATAACGAACCACATAGCTTATTTAAAATCTTTATAACTTATAATATAATCAGAGCTTATGGAAGACATACATGTGAACTCTCCCATTTTCAGCGGGAGACTCTTACTTTCAGCAGCCATATTTTCAAAGATTTTCTTAGAATACAACCCATGAATAGACTCAATCCTGCCTGAAACATTTTCAATTTAGTTATTTTGGGCTTTCTCTAGGGATTTCGTTTTAACTATTTTCTCATGACTGGCTGTAGGATGCAGACGAGGACGAACTACCGGAAGATGAATTACCGGAGTGGAAACGAGAACCCCCGAAAGTGGACATGTCCAAGTTGAACACTGCCGACCCAGAGGGCATGCTGAAAGCTACAAAGAAAGGAAAGACTCTTATGATGTTTGCATCTGTTTCTGGTAAATATTTTAAACACACATCATTAGTGTCTGGTAAACATTTTAAACACTTGCTTGTGTCTGGTAAATATTTTAAACACACATTGGTGTCTGGTAAATATATATTGTATCATAGTTTTGGGACCTTTCTGTTGAAAATGTGTCAGAGTTAAATCATATACATATACATGCACAGTGCGTGAACTGGAGTGCAGGTATTAGTTACCCGCACTCCAGAGCATGCCCATTGATTGGCTCATTTTTACTTGGGTTTACTTATTGTGACGAAAGAGAAAGGGAAAGCAACAGAAATATCATATTTGGATGCTCGTTCATTGGTTACTTTTTTCAGGGATTTTATATTGTGACAACAGGGAACATGTTTTTATGTTTGACTGTGATACAAAAGAGAAAGAACATCAAAACACACTCGGCAATCTGATTAATACTCGGGGGCTACGCCCCCTCGTACAAATCAGATAGCCTCGTGCTTCCATGCTCTTTCTATTACTTAAACACACATTAGTGTCTGGTAAATATATTTCAAACACACCTTAGTGCCTTGTAAATATTTTAAACACACCTTAGTGCCTGGTAAATATATTTCTAACACACATAAGTGTCTGGTAAATATTTCAAACACACCTTAGTGCCTGGTTAATATTTAAAACAGGCCTTAATGCCTGGTAAATATTTCAAACACACATTAGTGTTTCGTAAATATATTTCAAACACACTTTTGTGCCTGGTAAATACTTTAAACACACACTAGTGCCTGATAAATATTTCAAACACATTTGAGTCTGGAAAACATTTTAAACACTCATTTGAGTCTGATAAACATTTTAAACACTCATTTGAGTCTTGTAATCATTTTTAAACACTCATTTGAGTCTGATAAACATTTTAAACACTCATTTGAGTCTTGTAATCATTTTTAAACACTCATTTGAGTCTGATAAACATTTTAAACACTCATTTGAGTCTGGTAAACATTTAAACACTCATCCATATCCAGTAAACATTTTAAACTTTTATTTTTTTCCAGTTAGCATGTTCAACACTCTTTTCTGTCTGGTAAACATTTTAAACATTTGTTAGTGTCAGGTAATCATTGATAAACCTGTTAAACACTCATTTATCTCTAGAAACATTCTTTAGTAACATTTTGATAACCTCTCAGTCTGATGTAAGCATTTAATTTGTACAAAAATGAACTTGTTATGAATTTGGAATTGCCGATGAGGAAACATGGTGATTACTTTAGTTGGGTTTTAATCCATTATCCCTGGGTTGAGAGGCAGACACCTTAATAACTAGGCCACTGCTTCTAGTAACATTTACAATAGTGGAATTATAAGGCAGTTGGCAGGTCATTATTCCTTGTTACTGCAGTAGTGTTCAAAGAGTTGAAAACATACAAAATACATGTTAATTACTTTCCAAAGATAAAAATGAAAATTAAACAAAAATAAATAAATGAGTAATAAGTGATAAATTTTGAAGATATAATACTTTAATTTATCACACACCGTGCCGATTTTGCGACTTCATAAAAATGGTATTGCATGGCCGTGCATATATTTTGATGTGACGTCATTAGCATTATACAAACATAATGTAAGGATGTGCTAAATTTTAGCATTATACTATAGGTCCCAATGAAAAATGATTTGTTTGCACTTTAAACAGTCTTTATTTCTTGTAGGGTTTTGACATGTGTGGTTTTGTCCTACATTCCCTCTACAGTATATATGTTGTTGTTGGACCTTGTATGTTTGTAAATTACTTTCAGGAAATCCTACGCAAGACGAAACTGAAAAGGTGACACAAATCTGGGCTGGAAGTCTTTTTAATGCAAATATAGAAACTCAAAGGTATGTATTCCAACAGGTGTTGCTACATTTGTTTAATCATGATAGATTGAAGTTTAGACTTTTTAACTTTGTTCTGGCCATATATTGTGTTTTATGAAAAAGTAGAAAAAATTATTTGCATTTTATACATGGTCATGAACTTAGTAATTATATTTTATAGACTAATACACGGATAAAAAGTGTCCGAACTAGCAGAAGACAGGCTATTCTTATCAGTATTTTTTTGAGATAACCGGTTGCGTATCTCAGACATTTTAACTTTGTTCTGTACATATATTGTGTTTTATGAAAAAGTAGAAAAAATTATTTGCATTTTATACATGGTCATGAACTTAGTTATTAGATTTTTTATAGATGGTCTTCAGCTTTGCATCTTTTATGCTTGGTCATTTGACTATTAGATTCATTGATTTCTCTGTTGGCAAATAGTTTGTCAGTTTTAGCTTGCATGTTGAAAAGTTTACTTTCTATGCAGATATGTGGTTGGCAAGAATAGTGTTGATTTCATGTTGAAAATCTAATTTTCTATGCAAGTAATTATGTGGATTGTGAGCAGATATGTGGATGGCTAGAATAGTGTTATTTTTCATGTAGTCTTTTCTGTTTCATGTTGGAAAGTTTATTGTCTATGCAGATATGTGGCAAGCAGATAATTATGTGGTTGTCCGGAATTGTTTTGATTTTATGTTGAAAAGTTTTATTTTCTATGCAAGTACATATATGTAGTTAATCAAGAATAGTGTTATTTTCAGTTTATTTTCTATGCAGATTTGTGGTTGGCAAGAACAGTGTGATTTTCATGTTAAAAAGATCATTTTCTGTGCAGATATGTGGTTGGCGAGCAGATTTGTGGTTGGCAAGAATAGTGTTATTTTCATATTAAAAAGATCATTTTCTGTGCATGTATGTGGTTGGCGAACAGATATGTAGTTGGCAAGTTCATGTTATTCTCATGTTTAAAAGTTTATTTTCTATGCAGGTAAATGTATGTGGTTGTTGTGCTATTGTATAGTTGGGAGAATTATGTTACTTTCATGTTGAAAACTTAATTCTCTACAAAGCTATACGGAAGGTGAATCCAGACACATTATTATCACTTGTAGCACTCCAACACTTGAAAAAGTCACGATGCTCACTTATCACGAAATTCAATTTTTGTACACAGGTACGTGGTAGGGGAGAATCGTGTTATCTTCATGTTGAAGGATGGAGCTATGGCTTGGGAGGTTAAGGACTTTCTAGTCAAACAGGACCGATGTGAAGAGGTGACAATCGAGGGTAAAAGTTATCCCGGAAAGGTTTGTATTTATTCGGATAAATTCCGTATTTCCTTTACCATGGTCTTTATGTGAAAACAGAACCAATTTTATTATTAACAGCAAGTCTATTTAACTCAAATTGTATCACATTTTAGTTTATACAAATTAATTTTAGTTTGATTGTGTGGAAGCTTTAAGCTTATTGAAACACTCTCGAATCTTTTTCTAGAACCAACCGTAACTAAGCAATGTGTGTAAAGTTTTTTGCTCAAGGAAACATCGGCTTGACCCTAACGAGATTTGAACCCACGTGGCTAGCAATCCCTAGATTACTAGTCTGATGCGTTAACCACTCGGCCATGCCGCCACATGTTTTGACGTGCATTGAGGAGCATCTGAGGTCCCCCTCCACAAGTAAAACTTGGGAAGTCGCCATATGACCTATCCTGTGTTGGTGCGATGTTACCTAATGAATTTTTTTTTACTTGAAGGATTGTCAGACTTGTACATCACTATGATTAACCATTGTTAAACATATGGCGTACAAAAGTCAATATACACTGTCTTATAAACTGCTAAAAAGCCTTGATATTAAATATACAGTATACATTGTATACTCAGTTCCTATGATATCACGGGTTCTTTGATATCACAATATTTACATTTTCTGTCTGTGACTGCCTGTGAAAGCAACACATGTTGATGATACTTTTCTTAAATCTTTGACACTAAATCACATAGCATCTGCCAATAAATTTAATTTTGTGATTAATGAATACATTCCTTTTAAAAAAATCTTCATATTTGACTACTATTTCTCTTAATTTTTTTTACACAGTCAGTTGAAATATGTTATTATCTAATATTTTGGCATATTGACTTTTCATATAGCTTTAATTTTATAGCAAATTAGGTTTTGGAAGATTTCCACAATTTAATTTGAAGATTATGACACTTCTATCCTTCCATACTTGCATATTTGGGAATTACCATGATACCATAGTAACCTCCTCTGAAATCACCCAAATTGGTAGACAATGGAAATAGTTGAATGGTTGTCAAACTTGGATAAATACCCCCAGACAAGACAAAACTGAATTTGACCTTGACACATAATAATATATAATGTGACTTTGACCTTAAAGGTCAATTTATTGATTTGTCTAAAATTGACCATAACTTTATAATTAATGGACGGATTTAATTCCAAAGTGCACAAAACATTATTAATTACAACACTGACATGTTGAATTATTTAAGTGTGACCTTGCCCTATCAATGACATTGACAGTCAAGGTTAAATATGAAATTTTATTTCAATTCTAAAATAAAAAATGTGAAGTTGTCTATGCAAACATTTCACAATGTCCTTGCTCTAATGTGGGGGGAAAAAATCAAGTGTACTCTCAGATGACACCTACCTGGTATACAAAAATTCAGAGATGTTTGATGCATGACCTCCTGTTGACCTTTTATAATGACTGGTCCCCCTTATCATTTCCTCGATAAATTCTATGTAGTGGATTTATGTTTCGTTTTACAGGGTGCTTCAAAAGATAAAAAGGATTCAAATAAAACCAAAGATAATAAAAAGGGCAAAAAGACAGAAAAAAGTAAAGGAAAGACCAAGTCATCAGATAAAAACGACAACAAATCCAACAATAAGAAGAAAACAGAATTATGATGCCCAAGATATGAATCTGAAGTAAAGTATTAAAATGAAGAAAAGTAATTACAGAAAAGTGAAGCAGAGCAGGAATTAATTATTGGTGCTATATTGATATAAAATATATCAAAAATTAAACTGCAATAGAAATAATACCATTTCCTCTTTTTGAGATTCATACAGGGCTTCCGTTAATGGCAGTTTGGGAGTCATTTACTCATTGATTTTAGCTTGTGACTTCAAAAATATAATGCTTTTCCTTCTTTACCTATATAGTGTGACTTCCAATGTCCTGACATTTTGCAGTCTTTGATTTTCAAATTTTGGAACTCAGTGGAAGCCCTGTTCATATACATGTATGAAGGTTGCCAGAGGTATTATTTTTTCTTGATTAATAGACAGTATTTTTCAGTTTCTGCTTCTTTGCATCAGTGCTTTGAAATGTCAACTTATATCAACAAATTGCAAGATGAACAACATGTTTTCAGTGGAGTCTTTCCAATGCCACCATGATTGTTGTTGATAATTCATACGCTAACCAGGTGCTAAATAAAAATTAACAGATTTTGTAAGTTCTTTAAGAATATTTTTTTATTTTTGCAATCTTTGAAGATTGGTCCTTTGTAGAGAAATTATCTTTTCACAACATTATCTTACCTACCAAAATATATTTTTGTTTGTTTATCTTATAAATGCAATAAAATCTTTTTTTCTCATTTGAATTCTGATGCATACTGGATTAAGTAAAACATATGGTCATACACACGAACATTATAGTGTAGATCTGCAACATAGTGAAATGTAATCTCATTTTAACTGTTAGTTTATACTTATTTATAATAGTTTGATTGTGATGGAACTTTAAGCATACTTGAAACACTCTCGAATCCATTCCCTAAACCAACCACTACTAAGCAATGAGTGAAAAGTTTCATGCTCACAAAAACAAAGGCTAGCCCCTGACAGGGTTTGAACCCTCATGGCCAGCAATCATTAGATTACTAGTCTGAAGTGTCAACCACTCTGACATGTCGACATTTGAACTGTTAAAATTTTAATCAGAGAAAAACAGCAGTGTAACTGTTTGTTTAAGAAATAATATCCCAACTGTGATTTTATCGCTCAATAAAATCACTGTTTGGAGTTCAGATGCGAGGAATTATATTACGAGGGCGTAGCCCGAGTGATATAATGATGCGCATCCAAATGCATCAAGCGATGAAATCACTGTTTTTGATATTATTTCGATTCTAACGAGACATCAACAAATAAATGTTGCAGTAACTTATATTAAGCTAAATTGCCCCTGAATTGTTTCTGTACTTATTTTCAGCGTGTCGCATTTTTAAAGTGTTACATCGCATCTGTAATGCTTACGTCACATTTCTAAATATAGAACGTCAACAGTGATTTTGTAGCATAATAACACATACTTTGGTCCTTTTATGTTCAATAGGGCAAAATGCGGGTCGTGTTAGAATTATATATAACAGTTGATTGTCAGTGAGATTAAGCAGAGCTTTGTTTTGACTTGTTATTTGTGAAAGTGATTGAAGCATTGTTTGTTTATATGAGCCGCGTCATGACAAAACCAATGTAATGGGTTTGCAACCAGCATGGATCCAGACCAGCTTGCGCATACGCACAGTCTGATCAGGATCCATGCTGTTCGCTTTTAAATCTTTTAACAAGCGTGGATCCTGATCAGACTGCTGGTCGCAAATGCACTATGTTGGTTTTGTCGTGATGCAGCTCATATATTTTTTTTTGTCAGGGACATTTAGCAATAACTTCTCATGACACAAAGATATAATAGTGTTTAATTATAAAATATTGTTTAATATATGCTTTCTGGAAAGATACATGTATAAGTATTTGTTTATGAAATGCTGTTTTGTAAGAGAGATAATATATATACCAGGGTTTTGTTATATACAAAAAATTTGCTTGTCAGGGATATTTTTTTAGCAGTGTTTGATATTTATGTTGTTTGTCAAATAGGGTGTGGCAGTGCTTGTTTATAAAACATTGTTTTGTGAGAGATATTTAGCAGTGTATTTGATTGACATGTTGTTTGTCATATGTATGTAGCAATGTTTGTTTCTATCAAAAGTTATTTATCAGTGTTCATTTACAAAATTTTCAGCAGTGTTTGTTTAAGAAAAATGTTATTTAGGAGTGTTTGTTCATGAAAAATGTTGTTTAGGAGTGTTTGTTCATGGAAAAATGCTGTTTTTATGAAAAATGCCGTTTAGCAGTGTTTGTTCATGAAAAATGCCGTTTAGCAGTGTTTGTTCATGAAAAATGCCGTTTAGCTGTGTTTGTTCATGAAAAATGACGTTTAGCTGTGTTTGTTCATGAAAAATGACGTTTAGCAGTGTTTGTTCATGAAAATGCTGTTGAGCAGTGTTTATTTATACAATGTTAAGCAGTGTTTTTTTTTATATAAAAAAAATCTTGTTTAGTATTGATTGTGTATGAAATTTTTTTTGTCAGAGGAAGATAGTATTGATTTGTATGCTAATAAATATGGCTATGTATAACTGACATACATGTACAATAATATTAATACTCAAGATATGTTAGACTTTTTTGGGGAAAAGGTTCACAGCTAAAAATTGGGAAATATTATTCAACATTTTCACTCCCTACACCACCCTTACTTTTAACTTTTAACATACTGATGTTTTTAACATACTTGTTCAGCTTCCATTTTTCAAACTATCTATGTTAATTTTGATATCACAATAAAAGATTTAAATGTTGAATCAGCCAATATTTGTGCAGATCCTGATAAGACTCTATGGATGTGCAGGCTGGCCAGGCACAAGCCTGGTAACAAATGCCTATCACTTTATCACTTTCTGTACAAGCAGAATAATGGTTAAATTGACTTATACTGTAACCTTTTCACAACTTGCCCATAAAAAAAGGTGATAAACATGCAATTGATTGTGTTCAGTGCATGAATTTCATGTTGTAAAGTTTGTGGACAGTGGGATGGGAGTCGAGACAAAATTGGAATATACTGTATTGACTTATTGATGTTATGTAATACCACATGGGTTCAGATGTGTTTGTTCATATTTCAAAAACAGGAAGTTCATTGTGTTCTGGAAGATTTGTTTTGAAGCTTATGAAACTTACGTGACTGGAATCAGATATGTTTTCCAAAGGGGGGATCGGCCCCAAATGTACGACCACATGCTAATAATTTGTCTTACATTGTAGAAATCATGTAACGTTTTCTAGATTTTTAAGCAAATATTGTATCCAATGTGTCACAAAATTGCTGCTATTTTCAATACTTTTACAATATTCTAAAATCTTATTTAAACTCCAAATTGTTTCTTGTCATTCATTTATTAAAGGATGACCACTTAGGCACAAAGGTCTAAAACTATAAAATTTGAAACTACATATTACATACATCAACTGGTACACTTGAAACAGAAAATATACACACACAAAAACAGTTAATATTTATACATTTTGTGTACTTCCAAATGAAAAAGCAAATCAATGTTTTAAGTTATGAGATTTTAAGCCCAATTTGAGTTAAAGACCCAGAAATGCTTTTATTTTATTTTCTCAAAGTCTTTTAATTTTTGGTGATCAGTTAAGTTATCCAAACAGATACTCATTGGCCAATTACTTGAACATGTTTATGCTTCTGTTGCTATGAGGCAAGTATTGTTATAGTGATTAAGTATTTTGCATGAAAGTCAAAATACTGTTTTGTTATCATTTTGCTACTTGTACCACAAATAATATTGCATTTAGCGCAATTTTTTCCATTAAAATAACAAAACATCTAACATGCTTTTAAATCAGTATTTAAGCCGCATCACGACAAAACCAACATAGTGCGTTTGTGACCAGCATGGATTTAGACCAGCCTGCGCATTCGCGCAGTCTGATCGGGATCCAAGCTGTTCACTCACCAAAATCTATATTATGTAGAGAAACTGATAGCGAACAGCATGGATCCTGATCAGACTCATTATGTTGGTTTTGTCTTGATGTGGCTCAATTTTAAGCATTTTAAAACACATGTTTGCACTTTCTATGAAGAACTGATGCATAATGTGCTATTAAAGCAGCACGCCTCCAGATTCATGCTAATTTTCATGACAAAATTGAAAATGTATTTAAAAGTAAAATATTGTGAAGTAACGGAAAGGAGAAATTTACACATTACAAAAATCAGTCACAACTCGCGTAAATTATCAAAATCAAGTCAAAATATTCGAAAATAGCATTTACTGCGTTAGTAACGCAGTAGACATATGGTTATAAGTACTGAAAAATAAATCATTAATCGCATATAACATGTAAATTATTACTTAAATCTTGAATCTTGTTACTTTTCCTAAAATCTTAATGCATTTTTCTCAGGTTTAATTTTATCAAAATATTAGGCTCATCTGGAGGCATGCTGCTTCTAAAGTATAAAAGTATTAAAACACTTTTCATCGTTGGGTTATGTACCAGAGCATGATTTAAAACGGAGTGATTGAATGAAAAACAAATTTGCACACAAGTTACAGGTCCACACCTTCATCTAATAGTTATCCAATTATGAAGAAAAACCTTTTTCCAGCCCCTTATTGCAATCAAGTCTCAGTGGAGCCCCTTTAATAAATTACTTTTCAGAGATGTTTTTTCTAGTAAAGGCTATCTGATTGCAGTCCTAATAGGTTTCCTTTTTCATTGAAAGTGTGCTTGCTTGAAATGTTTGATTTTTTTTTTTGAATAATTGTAATAGTTAAGGAACCTGTAACTTAATTAGTAAATACAACACATTATTATTTTTTTACAAAATTTATATGATATATATATTATTTTCTATTAAAATATTGATAAAAGTCGAATGATTGTTTTGTTGTTGTATTTTTTTCTCAATTTATATCATTGCCCCGATCATGTACTTTAAATTGTTTAAAAAAAAGAACACCCAAAGAATCCGTAACTTTTCTAGTACAATGTTGTAACTAAAGTAGATTTGTACAGTGAACTATTCTGGTGTTCTGGTAGAAAAAGTTAATTGTCTAATATTTTTGGTAAATTAACTATATTTTAACACCATTTCTTCCACAGTCAGGATTCCTTAAATGACCTTAATAAATAAAATCCGCCTTGATAATATAATAAAATTCTGTTTTATATGTCAATTTTCAAGTCTGCAAAATAGCTCTTCAGCGACTAAAAAATTGTCACAGCTAATTACTGTCATTGTTTAGCAAGCATTTCTTCAGGTTAACAAAACTGAAAAATAACCAATTGGCCACGTATGTTTTGTTAATAAATACTTCTTGTTTCCCTGTTAAAGTGAAAATGTTTCCCTCTTATAATTTTGTTATGGTACGTTGATATATAATTGTAAGAGTCTTAAAAAATTGAAGCAGTCACCCAGGCCATGACATGTTATTTGAACACTAAATTCAAAGGAGAGAGTGTCTAAAAAAAGCTTCTAGCTTTCTCCTCAATCCTTTCTGCATTTGATTATAGTTATGTTGCGTATATATATATGTTTGATTGAAATAAAATATTGTTTACACTAAAATTAAAATGAAATATACATCGAAAAGATATGGCCTAAATTTTGTTTAAAATTATACTAAAAAATGAAAAGTGGGCTTTTTCAAAATTCCCCTACCAAAACATTTTTTAATTTTTAAATTTTAATTGAAATCGACAAAAATCTAAGTTTTTGATTGGTCTGCCCCAACCCGGTAACAACTCAAAACTCAGCTCTTTAAAAGTGCGGATAAAGATCCCCAAGGGCCCGAAAAAATAAAAACACGAAGTAAGTATTGGGGAACTTTTTTAAAACCAAATTAAAAATAAAATTTTTTTACTAATTTTAAAACTGTTTGAATCAAAACGAACCCAAACCCAAAATTTTTATACATTAAAGTCCCTTCCCAAAACAAATTCTTCATCATTAACCAGGGCAAGGGGGAAAAATCTTGTTTTAAAAGACTTACGTATTTTCAATTACTAAACATGACATTAACTATATTCAAATTGGGCCTGTCTGACTTTTTCTAAAAATATAAGATCCAATAAAAAAACAACAAATAAGGGAAAAAACAACAAATAGTCATAAAAAAAAAAAAAACAAAGCATGCATAATTTTTTAAATTTTATTTCTCATCTATTTCAATCCTTTTCTTAGAAAAAAAATGGGATTCTTTATTTACATGTATGTACATTATAATCAAATTTAAAAGAAAACTTAAATAATTAACCTACTTATTTACCCTTTGTAGCATTACACAGTTATAGAGAACCCACAACTCTGCTCGCTTTCTTATAAGCATGGGCCATATATTTGAATGTCTGTAAAGTCTACTTATCTTTCATTGTCAATTTCAACAATAGCGGCTACTATCTCAATGTTTGGTCTTTTGTTGCTATTAGAGACGTTTCTGTCTGAATTACAGACTTTTCTACACTAGCATGTTGTCCTTTCACTTCTGGAATGAGTACAGCATGCCCCACAATCGGAGCATGTTGTATTGGTATACTAGTGTCTTTAATCGCGAATTTATCAGCTAAAGGTAATTTAGTTGGCACTGAAGCCTCTGAGGAAATCTTTCCATCTATAGATATTGAAGAAACTGGAATTGAAACTTCCTTTAAGGTAGCAGTTTTAACAGATTCTTTTGAAACTAAGGTTTCACTTGAAACGACACTATCAGGAGCTGTTGAAATTTCGGCTGGAACAGTTGTTTTGGATACAATCAGGCTTTCAACTGGTGATATAATGTCCGTTACAGAAACTGATTCAGTTGGTGGAACAACGATTTCGGATACAGGAACACTTTCTCCTGGCGCCACAACTTCTGTAACGGAAATTGTTTCGACCGGAATGACATCGGATACAGGAATACTTTCCTCTGGTGCAACTACTTCCGTTACAGAAACTGATTCAACTGGAACAATAACGTCGGAAACAGGAACACTTTCACCAGACACCATCACGTCTGTAACAGAAACTGGTTCGACTGGAACAAGAATATCGGATACAGGTGAACTTTCACCTGGCGCAACCACTTCTGTAACAGAAACTGTTTCGACTGGAACAATAACATCGGATACAGGAACACTTTCACCTGGCACCACAACTTCAGTAACGGAAACTGATTCGACAGGAACAATTATATCGGATACTGGTACACTTTCCCCCGGCGCAACTACTTCTGTTACAGAAACTGATTCGACAGGAATAATTACATCGGTTACAGGAACACTTTCACTTGGCACCATCTCTTCTGCAACAGAAACTGTTTCGACCGGAACAACGATATCAGACACTTGAACACTTTCAATTGGCACTACAACTTCTGAAACGGAAACTGATTCGATCGGTACGGTATCGGATGCAGGTACACTTTCTCCCGGCACTACCAGTTCTGTAACGGAAACTGATTCAGTGGGAACGACATCAAATGCAGGTACACCTTCTACTTGTGCCACAACTTCTGTTACGGAAACTGATTCGGTAGGACCAGCTACATCGGACACAGGCACACTATCTACTGGCACCATCGCAACGGATTCAACAGTTTGAGCTATTTGTTCAACAGTTTCAGATGGTAAAACTGTGTCAGCTGAAACAGTGGAGTCAATCAAATGTGTATCTACAACAGCGTACATTTCTGCAGGTGTTGTATCCGCGATAACGCTTATACCTGCTGGATCTTTGGCTACTGTTTCTATAAAAGGTTCAATTTGTCCTTTGTCTGCATGAATTGCTACTGGTTCGGGAATTAAAGTTTTGGCAACATCTACTGTCGATTCATGGAGGTTTACTGCAACTGGTACGCCGATGTGAGCTTGAGATGATGTGTCTGCTGATATAACGCCGTTGTCGCTGACATGTTTACTATTTTCATTTCCTGAGATTTCATTGGTACTGTTAATGTTGATGTTAACCGTATCAGCATCCGCTATTACTGTATCAATTGTATGTTGTGTCGATTCATTCTTTGGAGTAGTACTGATGGCACCGATATCTACCGGAAGTGAAGTTTCAAGTGTTTGAGACCTCACTAATCGTTTTTCAGTAGCCTGAGCTACATGTTTGACTTCATGTAGTGGCTGTATCTTGGTTGCCTCCGCCACACCTTTAGCAAGTCTTTCAAGTTGATGAACATTTAATTTCTGGAGAAATTCGTCGCTGATTGGTTTTGATATATTCACGGATTTCAGTCCTTCTGTTCCTTTTAAATCTGATGAACTTTTTGTAATCTTGGACCCGGTTGAAGGAGATTTCTTAATTGGTGTGCGCTTGATTTTAGTCTGCTTATCAATTGTTTCAGAAAGAATTGGGAGTCCACCAGACGGTTGATCAAAACCAAAGAGAGCTATCACCTCTTCCTGTGGTCTTTGTTGCAGCTGTTGTCTGGCACGTGACACTTGAACTTGTCTGCGTTGTGGACGTGAAGGTTTCTGTAGTGGCCGTCCACTTCCTGATCCGAGTCCACTTCCTAGTCCGAGTCCACTTCCTGGTCCGAGTCGACTTAGCCTACCTCCTGCCAATGATCCGGAAGTTGATTGAAGGGGAGCAATGATTCTGATAGGGTCATCTCTCGTACCTGTACCTCTAGTTCGAAACCTTTGTCGAAGCTGGCGAATGGCATCATGAGTAATTGGGCGACCTCGTGGTATGAGTCCAGGTCGACTTTGTTGTGGATAGTATGGAAATGGTATCCTGCCTCTGGTTCTGGAAAACTGGGGAGAAATTTGACGAAGCGTAGGATCAAGTGTTGGATTTAATCCTAAAGGAAGTCTTCTCAAACCTCCTATCTGCCTTCTAATAAGGCTGCGGTCATTAATTCCAAGTGATGGCATAGGAGGAAACCGGGTGCTCCCAAACCGGGACCCAAATTGTGGTACTCTAAACGGAGTTCTTGCCTGCCCAAAACGTCGAAATTGGCTCGGCAGTATCCCTGCTTGACTAAATCCAGGAATTCCGCCAGGAATTCCACCCCGGAAATCAAATGGTCTTTGAAACTGGAAACCTCGTTGGCCAAATATAGGAGGGAGTCGGCCCTGAAAATAAATCAATGCAGAATTATAGCTTGACAGCTTCACATCCCCAATGAATGAATCAAGTATCAATTTATCATGTTAAAAAAAAAGTCCCAACGTTCACATGCTTTTGTGAACTTTTTCTTGAGCCTGTAGGCATGTTTAAAAAGAAATGTAAATAACTGGAATGAGGAGAATATGTGTTATAATTTGATGTAAGAAACCAATTTCCGAGATAACAATATTGTAACAATGGATTAGTATTACGTCTTTGTATGTTTGCATAGAATAATGAGAAATTTAAATTTTGTTCAAAATCTAAATCGTGCTCAGCGTAGCTTATAGCACGTTATTATGAGTTAAGTATTTCGCTAAGCTATCTGAAAAAAAAAATCATGTTAATTGCACAATTCTACACGGGATGCGATGCTGTGTATGCAACCAGTGTGTCGGCTTCCAATTTGTGCCGGGGAGTGTTTCACAGCTGCGTGAGCTTTGAAGAATTGTTTAGAAAGCTTTAATATTCCATACATTAAAAGATAGATATGGAAAAATGGTCAGTGTATTTTATCAAAATTGTATACAAACAAACTGTCACCATTGCCATGTCATTACATACGATAATTTAATAGCGAGCTCGACGAGCTGGCCCGAAGGGCCTGCTCGCAAAGCGAGCTTTACGGTAACGCGAGTACCTGCTAAGTGATGGTTTTGAAAACTTTCGTCCAAAGTACCGAATTGGACACATCGCAACCTTTCGAATTTAAAGATAACGATAAAAACTGAGGAATTCTGACTGAAAACGGATGTCTAGACTGGTCACCCGCGCACGTCTATGGGAACCATAATTAGACAGGGAACCAGAATAACGGAAGCTGTGTATAAAAAAATAATAATTGAAGGCGCCATTTTGTTTGAAAAATCTGATAAATAAGAACAATTTTTTGTTGAATTTTGTTGTGAAAACTATCTAGAATGAAAGAAAATGGTCTAATTAAGAAAATGAATCCGAACACCAATATCTTTTAATTCAGTCGTTAACGCTGTACAGACGTTTAAAGTATTGTTTACTTGACGTCACAATGTAGCGCCAAACAGCACGTGCAAAACAAACAAATCAAAGTACGCTATTTTAATGTCGCAAACGTTTTAAGTTTTACATTTATTTCACTTTAGATAATCTTTATTTCGCTTGAAAAATTATAGAGTGAAACAAAATAAACAAAGTTTTATCAACGTTTTCAAAACTCGTTATTCATTTCACGACAGGGGCGGAGCCATATTTAACACAGTACGTGTGACGTCACACGCACTCGTTACTGCATTTGAAATAAAATTGAGCGATTATTTCATACTATTTCACGTAAAAAGTGCATCGAGCTCGCTTTGAGGCTTTGCCTTTTTCATATTATACATGTATCAGCTTCATGAAACTTGTATGACAATAAATATAAAACTGTAATTTCACTGGAGCGGTAAGAATCATTGTTTCTTACCGGAAGTTGTGGACTTTAACCGGAAGTTGATGAATTTAACCGGAAGCTTTGGAATTAAACTTTTACAGTGTGTAGTTTTGTTAACATGTCATCGCTTTATGTCACGCAAACATGTGAAGGTAACAAGATGGTTAAAATCGATATTTATCATTACAGATAAACTTAAAGTCCTGCTTTTTTCAAATTCAATTACTTTTATTCAACACTGCGGAAAAAAGTCATGAAATGCCAAGAGGTGAATTTACTGAAAAGTTCGCGCATATATACGTACATGACATCAAGTAAGGTACGTGCGAAAAGCTGTAATGGTGGTATCACGAAGGGTCGTTAAGAAAGCTGCAGTGAGCTCAAATGTCTAAAAAAAACCCCTAACATTTGAATTTCTTACATAAAACTACCAAAAACCGGGGCACATAAAACAGAAAAATACGCAAATGTTAATTAAGACATATACAAAATGTACTTAAAATAAATTGAAAATCGTATTTTTACGATATTATTTGGGAAAAAAGTTGCAACACTGTTCAACTTTCTTCAAATGAATTGATCGATGCTACAAAATGTGCGGCCCCTTCGTTTCTTTTATCTCACAATCCGCATTTATTACAAAAGAAAACCCTTTAAAATATACTGTTTATTTTGTACTCGTTTCAAAAAAGTTTTATGTTTATTAAATGTACTTATAAATGAAAATTTAGAAATATTGATGAAATAAAATGCCTATTTAAATTTGTTCCGTATTTTCACCGTTTTTTTTTTTAAGTTTTTTTTATTCACTATTTCACATTTTCACTGGTGTCTTGCCAGACAGCTTCCTTCTCTCATAATTAAAAAGGAAATCTTTCAAATCATAAGGTTAAAAAAGGTAAAAAAAGTATATAAAAAACAGAAAATTCTAGATTTTTTCTATTAATAATGGATTATATTTCATCTTGTGGTATGAAATTATCATATTCTAAGAGTTGCAGTAGCCATTATTACTTTATTTGCATACCACTCATCACGCACTTCTTTATTTTATAATACATTGTAACATAAAAGATGGTACGTTTAAAATGCTGTTGCTTTTTTTTTGTGTGTTCCCATGGTTAACTGATATTACAATGCCATACAACGAAAATAAAATCCAACAATTATAATATTGTCATGTCAAATAAGACTGACAATATTTGTACTTTTAGTCTTCTGGCGGGGGCTAAATATAACCATGCGACAAGATTAGACAAACAAAGATCATTCAGCACATCTTCGCCATTCGGTAAGTACTTATTTTGAAATTTTCCCTAAAAATTATGAATGGTTTTGTCGTGATTGAAAAATGGACAAGTCCATTTAATATATGGAGGGTAACAATGATAATTCAATACATACACTTCAACGAATTTCTTATTTGCCACAATATAAAAAAATCACAATTGTGTAACGTACATAAATTATTGAATCAATATGACACTTTTTAATTGTATATTAAGCGCGACAATCGTGTACCAAATTTCCCATGCGGCACGTGCGAAAATAGCATATGCTCGCGTTCCTCGTGCAAAGCATGTTTGTTTTAGAAGATGCTGTATATGTTTGGCTGTCTTTAATCGTGCCAAAAATTATTATTACAGAATGTCCCTCAAGTCGTCGGAATTATTCGTGCCGGCATTTAGGTAAGTCAAGCGTTGTTGTTAAAGTTGAAATATGTTTTATTTGTTTATATAAGAGAAAACATACTGACGTTATCATGTTTATCAATCTATTGTATAGTAAATTTAAATTTATGAGAAAAAAAGGCCTCATAGCACGCTTAGTCAACCATATATGCGATATGCACCTTCAAACAATGACCCATGCGTGACCAACAGCGAGAACCAAGTCCTTAGGATGGTGTTCGTTTGTTCACTCATTCCAAGACAGTATCTTCATTTTATCGTTATTTTGTAGTTTTTGTTTTAAAAGTATTTGCAGTTTTTGCTTTGGCCATGTCAATCTTCTCTGTTATGTTTGTTCACGTTAATTTATTGTAAAAAAAAAGTGTTTAACATAAAAGCAATTAATGATAGTAAACGCTGTTTGGTTCTTTATATTGTTCTTCAACAACATAATCTAAGATATGATTGAAGTTAGTGGTCAATAAGAAATTCGTCAAAGTGCAGCTCTTATATAATAAGTTAAACAATACATTTAGATTTTATATGAACAAAACAATAGTTTAAGATATTACATGAATAAAGACAATAGGTTTCCATCTTATATGAATAATGCAATGTATTTAGACATTATATGAATAAAAAACAATAGATTTAGATCTTATATGAATAAAAATAAACCCCAATGATCAACGAACAAATATAATTATATTAAAGTTTACAGACATTATTTGTTTTTGTAAAATTGCGATTTGTTCCAAAGTAGCTGTATAGCTTAAAAATTCAACTAAAAAGAAACAAATTATGTTAAATACTGGGATCCTACATATTACCGGACAAAATATGATGTTTTTTACATGTAACTTTTATTTAAAATAATAAAAAAGAAAGGAATTTTACCCAAATAATTTTGGGTTCTTAATACACGTAAACTTTACTTTATCAAACATAAAATCAAACATTTGACCGTAGAAATGTGTCTTTAAAGTAGGGCATTATAAGAGGGAAAAAAATCGTGTAGACAACTCAATTTACCGGACATTGTGTTTCAAAATGTTTTGAAGTCGTGAATTAAAATTAATCTTTAAATAATCAGCAAGAGAACTACGACCATTGAAGGGCAATGTTAAGACATTGGAAAAACCCAGTATGTCACTAGAAATAGACACGGCAGCCATGCTTGTTACGAAGATGCCAATATATAAGGTGTAATTGAAATTAACACTATTAACTCAATTAACGTATTGATTCTTCATGATCCTTAAACGTATGAAACATTTTGATATTCAAATGAAATTCTGTTCTTTGTCATACAGTTTCCTCATAAAATCTATTTTATTTACATTTCGTGTAGAGTTTCCTCCCATGGGCGTAACCCATTTCCTTATATGTTTTTAATTTGCATTTCTTTGTAAAGGACAACAACGAGATACTGTTTGGACTAAATTTCAAATTACTTTTTATCATTAAAATATGTTACGATTGTCTCCCGAGGTAACGTTGAGAAGAATTAAAAGTAAAACCTATCTTAAATAACCTATTAAGGGCCTCCATATTCGGGCCTGCGCAGAACAGATTATTCCCCCGCATGACCAGGTCATGAAATAACTAGTAAGCAAAAGGGCATGTTAGTAAATAAAGAACTGAATCAACAATATTTACCTGAGAGTGTTTTTGTTGTTATTTACTTTGAAATAGAAAGTGCGTGTACGATTCAGTCTGTATGATTTTTTAATCGAAGCAAAAAATAAAAATTTAGCATTTTTCGGCAAGAATACCTTTTGTCCGGTAAACTGATTGTCCGGTAAATACATAGGATCCCAGTAGTATATTAATACTATTTACTTAAGATTTAAATAGTAAATTGTAGGAACTTACCCCGGATAAATGTCTAGCTTCCACATTCTCAACAATTATTGCCAGAATTATGCACAACCCGGCTACTTTCAGATCCATCTTTAAGCGTAAAATTTCCCGCAACTGCAAAACGTACAAGTTAGTGTCCTTACTGAGAAAAAGGACCCTGCGCAACACAACCTGATGTTCGAAACTGGTGACTACCAGACACGCGGGGTAAGACAGACTGTGCCTGAAGGGGTTTACAAAATAAGTGACGAATGAATTATTGAGATGTTTGTTGCCGTCATTTTTGACAGCTCAAGGTGCAAAAACATTTGTTTAAGATATGTGTATTGACTAAGTAACATGTACATAGTGACATTGCATTAATTAGACTGTGGATTTTTACTGTCGCCTAGACACCTTTAAACAAGTACAAATATAGTATATAGAATTAGATCTTATTGCTAGCCAATAAATAGCCAATGATTTTATTATTGGATATGTGATAAGATAGAGGCAATAATATATCCACAATAAAGCAAGTAATATTTCTCTTTTTGGTTTCCACACCATATTGTTTTTTATAACTACCGACCCTACAAACTTAATACAATGTATTAAATTTTGCTTCCCGCCTTTTCAAAAACTTTTCTTAAAGGAACTCCACTGAGTTCTAAAATTCTGAAAGAAAACACATAAAATTAGAATTTTACATAGATCAGCTTGGGTACATAAAAAAGAGCGATTTGCAAAAGATATTTAAGACAGATACTCAGAAAGTAACTTAAAATCGTATTGTTGCACCATTCCACGCTCAATTTGTGTGAAAAGCGTTGCAGCGCTTTTTAAATTTTGCGTCAAATAAAGTGAGCGAATGCTCTAAAGTTTTGCGCACAAATAATTGGTCTAGACCTACATCAAATGGAGCATTAAACTGGAAAAGTATTTCCTATTGCCTCACGTTAAGAATCCTCAGTGGAGTCCCTTTGAAAGGATATACATTAAAAGTATAGAAATATATATTGATAAGAAATTAATTCCTTTGCGTAAACGCAACATTCGAAGCGTTGATATATTTTGGTGCCAAAATGCCGCAGCACTCAAGGGCTTATAGTGCAAAATAATGTTTACAATTACATTGCAATTGGCTTAAATATTTCTTTGGTTAAATTAAACTTCTATACACACGTAAATTAAATTATTTTCATAAAAAGGATTACAAGGCATTTCTTGTTAAAACCATTAACTTTTTAAAAAAAAATATATTTTCTGTTTTATTTGATATTTCAAAACAAAATATAACAACATAAATTTGTATTGTTACAAACTTGCGCATTTTAATTATGAATTTTATTCCTTTGATATTTTTTCTTTTCTCGAAAATAAAACACAACAAATTATATTCGAGTAATATGAAATACATTCTGAGGAAACAGATTTAAAACAATGTCATTAAAGGCCTATCCCGATCCATATAACAGATTTTATTTTACTATCTGGCAAAAAAATAACATGGATGGTTTAGTTTTGAAAATTTTTGGCTCTCAAGCCAGGGATCGTGGGTTCAAGCCCTACTCGGGTCACGACCATGAATCTTCATATGACATCAGTACTGGCTGGTTCCAGGAAGCGAAGCCGAAAATGATTAATATATCAAGTTGCAAGAACTTATTTCGTAATCGAGCGTAAATTACTACGTTTAAAGTAAGTATATTATCAGAAAATAACTTAAGTTTTTGTTTATGATGCGAATAAAATCAAACAATTGAAGATTGATACCAATTTTCATGAAGATTTTTAAAATGTATCTAAAAGTAAAAACATTGTGAAGTGAACAAAGAAAGCAAATAAAGCTCCACGAAAAGAAAGTAATTTACACATTGCAAAAGGCACTTACTATCCACGTAAATTATTAAAAGGTGGTCAAAATATTGGGGAAACAATAATACAATCAATTGAGTTAGTCACGCAATATGGTGATAAATACTGCAAAATCAGTCATTAATCAAACGTAACATGTAAATGTTTACTTGATTTTTGAATCTTTTTACTCTTCTTTAAATATTAGAACATTTTTCTCAAGTTTGAGTTTCTAGAATTAATTTGGTTAATCTGGAGCCTTGCAGCTTTAAAGCACAGACTATTGCTAAAACTCGAATATTGAATAGAAAAGTACTAGATGGCCTTGATTTCTGACAACGTTTAGTTCTAAATAACCTTCAGTTCTAGATTTTTATATTTTTTTTATATTCTAATGACCTTTGGTGCTAGATGATTTAGTTTCAGATTTCCGGAATGCCACAAGTTATACATACATGTAATAAATCATGATCTTGATTGTTATAGGTGTATTTCAATTGTTTTTTACATTAAGCTATATGTAAATGACTTCTATCACAGATCTGTTTGCGACACTATCATTTCCGGGAATATAATGGGCACATGATCATATATGTTACAATCGCAACTTTTCGGCATTTTTCGTCAGTCTTCGGGCAAGGACTATATTTTAATTATAATGAATAATTGTCGAGGTATTCGATTGGTTATATCTTAGAATGTGTATTATCATAAACATGTACTAAAATGAGAGTTATTTCCGGTGGTTGAAAGCTTCTTTTTCAAAGGATGTCCTTTTTATCACACTAAATAACCAATATTATCAACCATCCTTTATAGTGTTTATGTTAACATGAAAGCCACTTATGTTGCATGTATCAATCCGCCGCTATGGGTTTACTTTTTATTGTTTTTCGTACGGACTATTTTTCTGGCTTTTGTTTTCTATAACATAATATAACTGATGATGCGAATGAATTTTGTGAATGCCTTTAAAATTTCTCTTTTATTAGTTAATTGTTTAAAATAAAAAAGCAGAAATACAGCGAAATTGTTTGATGTCGTAAAACTTATAAAAGTACTTGTGACAACTGACGGTATTAAACAAGGAGCATTTTCATTGGTCCTTGCGTTGACGTATCATTTCAATTTTGACATACGTAATTTGCATAAACTGACAGCCATCTTTGATGACCTAATGAAATTTAACTGACAAGTCTGAGCACATGCGCAACACGTCATAATGACAAATTACACGATGACCGTCAGAGTCTGTGAATTTAATTAACGCTAGTTTCACGCCTATCATATTTGGCGAGTGCGCGTATGAATACTTTCGTTGATTGGTTGACAAACGATGATGCAGCTCACCAATTACTTTAATGAAGTATGATGAATAAGTCCGAGTAGATCCAAATCATGGAGATCATGTTTTCACGACATAAAAAAATAATACAGAAATAAAAATATATCACAACTTCACACCATTTCCATTTGTTTAATGATGAATTGTATAACCTCCCCCCTCCCCCTACCTCCAACACACACGCACAAAAAAACCTGCTATATGCATGTTAAAAAGATCTCTGCATATAAAAATAGCCGTGCGCATGATGTACGAAATTGTTCCTTGGTCATGCGTGTCAAATGTTTAAAACATTCAAAGTGATTTGGTCCACACTGGAAGGTCTGAAAATCAACAAAATATGATGACTATACTTATATCATCATACGTGAGAACAAACCATGAAAGAATTATATATTTATGTTCTTAAGGAACCTGATCCGATGAGACATATCTTTATGTAGCAGATAATAAATTGTTCCAGAACAAAATATTATATTTCTTCATATAAATGTCCATACTAAACAACTTAGAACTTTATCAACATCTTTTCCAAGAAATATTTTTTGTAAGAATGTCTGAATGAAACACTTCTTTTGATTTTACAAATATTTGAAATACTTATGGAAAATGAGTCTTACTGTAGATCAATTCACTTTAAAAACAACAACCATAATAGAAAGACAGACATTTGGTCAAAGATATCATATTTAAATGTCTAAATAGCACAGCATTTCCAGATTGCTGTTAATTCTAAGAAAATTTGGATTTTTTTTCTTCTTTCAGTAAAATTGTCAAATGTTCTTCAAGGCGACCTTTTAGACAACCTTACAAATATTATCTTTGAATAAAGCTATATTTGTGAAAAAGAAGGTGTCTGAAATTAAAGGAGAACAGCTGCGTTTCAAGCCTTAAAATGTCAGATGTGAACTCCTATACAGATCAAGGGAATCACCTAAAATGGAAAATCTGCAAAAGATAATAAAGAAATATACTCAGAATTAAATTAAAACTTGATTTTTTTGTGCGATTTTTAGCCCGATTTCAATCTCAACTACTCGGCCTTTTACCGTGAGTCTTTGGATAAGGACAACAGCCGAGGCAGTTCCGAATGGCCCGATTTGAGCTAAAAACGTTGCAACGCTAGCTTAGGTCTTTTTGTACAATAAACATGTAAAATTGGAAAAAAACAGGATGAGGGGATGAAAATGAAAATATGCACATAAGTTATTTATCAAGACAAAAAAATTCGAAAAACTATTACAAGTTCCACCATGCCAAAAACAATTTCTCAGCGGAGTCCTTTTAAAGTGAAGACTACGTGATTTTCATTGTTATGCCGCCAGATTCGGGAAAGTCAGCGAGGCAAAATCGGTTATAGTTAATGTTTCAAGCAGAAAATGTTTTATTTCAGTATACCGTGTTGAAGTCGATTTATATTTATATGTAAATTTAAAAAAAGAAATGTACTAAAATTATTTTTCTAAATATTGTTATGACTTTAACAATCCGGAAGTATGAATAACATTCCTGTTAACACAGTTTCGGATTTGGTCAAGTGAAAATCTAAAACTAATTCTAATTGTCAGACAGTTTTCAATCATTAATAATATTATAAATATACACATTATGCATCTCCGGATATTCAAAACGTACCGTTTTATTTGAGGGTAAATCCGCAAAGCGAGGGACATAAGTCCGAGGGCTATTGTAGATGTGAATGCATGCACAAAAGAAAGAGTGCATTGATGCTATTTTGCACGAACATTTAATTTAATAATTTAGCTTTTCTTTATTTTTATTATTTTTTTTCGTATAAAGAATTTGGCCTCGTCATGCTTTTCGTGTGCTAGTCATTTCACTGTTTTGCTAAGAAAACTACCGGGTTGTCACTGTATCAAGCTGTTTAACATGGCGCCCTGAGTTAAGAATATTAATAAAACGTGCAACTTAATGCATATATTCTTTTCCATTTATGTTAAGCGTTGTGTGTAGTTTTTGAACAAGAATTTTAATT